AGAAAGAAACATTATGACACATTATAAAGGTCCAAAACATTGATTACCGCTGTGCGGTTATTGTTTGGTGATGAAAGCCAGTCGGCAGTAATTTGAAGTAATTCAGTTCACAGAAGTCATTAATATTCATAAACATCACATGCCGTCACAAATTTAAATAATCAAAAAACTGAGGAAATATTTCCTTATGTAATCTTTCATGTGGCTGGAACTAGAGCAGCATCAACAGTCAGCATCTGATAATGTACGAATTTAAAATTCGATTAAAAAGCAATTTTTGCCTCCGAAAATGTTTCAATTGAAGTCGATTTTCAATTTTAAATCAGTCAAAATGTGAAATTCGTGCTGTTCAAATTGCCACTTCCAATGGGCTTCCTTAAACAAGTCAAAATGCAAAGATATTTATGGCAATTATTTGGGGCAATAATTGAGAGCTCAAAACCTTAATGAATTATCTATTATTGAGATTTAAACTTTATAATTGGAAGTAAATACTCAATTGGCAGCAAAAAAAATGGAACTGAGCTATTGAGCAATGATTTTGGCTCCTTGCTAGACACCGAAATGCGTGATTTACAGCTTATTGATTGTTTCTTGAACTTCTGTGACATCCAGTAATGCATTCACAATCTGTGCTCATCACACAACAATTCGAGACATAAAGATCATCATTAATTTCATTTCAAGAACATTGTTGCAGCTATAAAGTCAACAGAAACAATAAAAAATTCCACAAATGTTTCACTTTCGATTTCATTTGAATGTTTTTTGAGGCAGCACATCCAACATCCAATCAATTCAATTGTTCTGTTTGATAAATTTGATTTGATATTAATAAATTAAATTAAATGGAATATTTGTAAATATCAGCGGCAAGCAGCAACATCTCTCAAAGTGATGATAAATTTGTTCCAGGTGTCTTAAAATATTTCCTCATTCTTTCCATTCCCTTTGCCTGCCTTCTAATGCAATTATTTGCAATCAAATCTCATTTGAAATGATAATTTTTCATCATCTTGTTGGTGCTTCTCTTATTTCTATATCTATGTCTGTGGCTGTGCTTATGAAATTCCCAAATGAAGGCTCTTTATTGGGAAATGAAGTCATGCAAAATTTTGAAGATGAATAAGACTCATGCGGTGCATGAATGATGCAAAGAAAGCATAATTGATGTTATCAGTCAGGCTGAATGGGAAGAAAATCAACCTTAATGTAAGCAATTTGACATGGAACACCCTAACATGACCTAACTGATATAATAATAAACATTGATGGTTGTGGCAACAACTGCAATAAGAAGAAAGTATCATGCAGTGAAATACTCAAGTCTATTAATGATAAATCGAAGTCTAAAACATTCAGTAAGTTCATCAATCAGAAATCGATTTGAACTTCTTTGTAGGCGGATTTATCACAAATGAAATTTTTTATTATTTCAATAAACATGGAAACTAGTAAGTCTGTGGCTGCTGGATGGCATGTTAACTGCAGTTCCTTATATAATCGATTATTCAATTACTCATCTATTAATTCTCTTAACTTGGATCATTAATTTTTTATTGGAGTCAATAGCTTATAAAGTTTACAATAGAATCTGGTTCATGCCTATAAAGCTGTATCAGAAGTGCTATAACATAAAACATTGCAGTCCAAGTTGACCATGAAAATGTCGAATTTTTAAGCACATCATCACGACAGTTTAAGCATTTTTATGGTCGATGGTTCCATTCGTTGCCGTTGTTCTAGTGTTCTACTTTTAGAAAGTGATTGATTCTTGTTGTTAGGCTACAATCAGCAGCAAAATCAAGTGGTTAAACTGAAAAACTGCTAAGATTTACAGGAGATAGTAGCAATTACCTGACAGCAAAGTGAAATACAGTAAAAGTCCCTTTAGATAAAAAATTGATAATCACATAAATAGGAACTGACATTTTCCAATATTTGTGCTGCAACAAAGCAAACAAAACATTATTTTATGGATAATAAATTATTTTTTAGTGTCTCTTTTAAAAATTTTCCATTATCTTTGCAACTTTTTAATCCACAGTGACTTGTTAAAAGCACAAACATTTAAAACGTGATTATGTTTTAGCGAGTTGTCATGACGTGACACGAATCGGAAGTTTTACATTTCCTAGAAAAAAATCCTAATGTCGATTCCATAAAGAACATAATTAAACCAATAAAGCTAATAAAGATAAAACAGACATGCTAATTGATTGATGTTGATGTTCAATTCTTACAAAAGAATCCCTCCAAGCATCTCAATGTCACCATATCCACATCCACACAATGATTCTCGTTCTTGAACTTCGAGTTGAGTTAATTGAAATAAAAAATATTTCTCGTTGAATGTTGTCAAGTTGCAAGATTTGCAACTCACGAGTCGTGACAGAGATTTGTTGAGTGTCTTTCTACATAACATAAATGGAAAATATTTCTGTTCCTGCCTACCTTTTCATGTTTGGTTGCTGGATGTGATTATGATTGCAATTAAAAACTTTGAAGAATTTTGTCACTAGAATTTTGGATGTGTTAAGAAAGCAGCTATTGTTTTTTTTTATCGAATGTTGATGTGAGATCTTTGCTTCAATTGATGCGAGTTATTTGCTTTAATTGATGCTAGTTCATTGCTTCAATTGATGCGAGTTATTTGCTTTAATTGATGCGAGCTCTTTGCTTCAATTGATGCAAGTTCTTTGCTGTAATTGATGCGAGTTCTTTGCTTCAATTGATGCTAGTTCATTGCTTCAATTGATGCGAGTTATTTGCGTTAATTGATGCGAGCTCTTTGCTTCAATTGATGCAAGTTCTTTGCTGTAATTGATGCGAGTTGATTGCTTCAATTGATGCTAGTTATTTGCTCTAATTGATGCAAGTTTTTTACTTCAATTAATGCGAGTTCTTTGCTCCAATTGATGCTAGTTCATTGCTTCAATTGATGCAAGTTCTTTGCTGTAATTGATGCGAGATCTTTGCTTCAATTGATGCTAGTTCATTGCTTCAATTGATTCGAGTTATTTGCTTTAATTGATGCGAGCTCTTTGCTTCAATTGATGCAAGTTCTTTGCTGTAATTGATGCGAATTCTTTGCTTCAATTGATGTTAGTTCTTTGTTTCAATTGATGCTAGTTCATTGCTTCAATTGATGCGAGTTATTTGCTTTAATTGATGCTAGTTCATTGCTTCAATTGATGCGAGTTATTTGCTTTAATTGATGCGAGCTCTTTGCTTCAATTGATGCAAGTTCTTTGCTGTAATTGATGCGAGTTCTTTGCTTCAATTGATGCGAGTTATTTGCGTTAATTGATGCGAGCTCTTTGCTTCAATTGATGCAAGTTCTTTGCTGTAATTGATGCGAGTTAATTGCTTCAATTGATGCTAGTTATTTGCTCTCATTGATGCAAGTTTTTTACTTCAATTAATGCGAGTTCTTTGCTTCAATTGATGCTAGTTCATTGCTTCAATTGATGCAAGTTCTTTGCTGTAATTGATGCGAGTTCATTGCTTCAATTGATGCTAGTTCATTGCTTCAATTGATTCGAGTTATTTGCTTTAATTGATGCGAGCTCTTTGCTTCAATTGATGCAAGTTCTTTGCTGTAATTGATGCGAATTCTTTGCTTCAATTGATGCTAGTTCTTTGTTTCAATTGATGCTAGTTCTTTGCTTTAATTGATGCGAGTTCATTGCTTCAATTGATGAAGTTCTTTGCTCTATTTGATGCGAGTTCATTGCTTCAATTGATGCTAGTTCATTGCTTCAATTGATGCGAGTTATTTGCGTTAATTGATGCGAGCTTTTTGCTTCAATTGATGCAAGTTCTTTGCTGTAATTGATGCGAGTTAATTGCTTCAATAGATGCTAGTTATTAGCTTCAATTGATGCAAGTTCATTGCTTCAATTGATGCGAGTTATTTGCTTCAATTGATGCTAGTTCATTGCTTCAATTGATGCAAGTTCTTTGCTGTAATTGATGCGAGACCTTTGCTTCAATTGATGCTAGTTCATTGCTTCAATTGATTCGAGTTATTTGCTTTAATTGATGCGAGCTCTTTGCTTCAATTGATGAAAGTTCTTTGCTGTAATTGATGCGAGTTCTTTGCTTCAATTGATGCTAGTTCTTTGTTTCAATTGATGCTAGTTCTTTGCTTTAATTGATGCGTGTTCATTGCTTCAATTGATGAAGTTCTTTGCTGTATTTGATGCGAGTTCATTGCTTCAATTGATGCTAGTTCTTTGCTTCAATTGATGCTAGTTCTTTGCTGCAATTGATGCGAGTTTTTTTTGCTGCAATTGATGCTAGTTCTTTGCTTCAATTGATGCGAGTTCTTTGCTTCAATTGATGCGAGTTATTTGCTTCAATTGATGCTAGTTCTTTGCATCAACTGTAGCAAAAATTCAGCCAAATCAAATTCAATCTCCTTAAAAATAATTTCATAATTCATCTCGTAAACATTAATTTCAGCCAATAGCAAAATTGGACAATCATCACAAGATTGCTCAAGCTAATTATTGCAAAAACACCTTTAAAATCACACCAAGATCCACTAAACTATATAAAATTGAGGTAAAAGCATCATAAATGAACATTTCGGCCTTTAATTCGATTCTCCGATTGTGGGCGTTCTTTTCAGCATCTTTCAAGTATGTGATGGCAAACAATTTTATTAGTACAACGGCTGTAATTTTATATTATTGGCACTGATGCTGTTCATGATGATGATGTTGACTTTTCATTTATTGCTTAATTTTTTTTTGTATTAATTCCTTTTAAATAAAGACATTAAGCTGACGACCTCTAATTGTGGCACAAATTTATTATTTTTTTCTTCTTTTAAGTTGCTGCTTAACAATAGCTGGAGATGTAATAAAAATTCTTATCATAAATTTTTTAATGGCACTGAGCCTTGAAGGCAATACTTCAGCTTTTTATTGTTCGTCAATTAAATATGTACATGAATAATTTCATACTAAAATGTTGAAGTTGAGATTATTAAAGTTTTTAACTGCTTTTTTATATTTGAAAATTTTTGCATCTTTATTCAAAATTAATTGTTACTTCAAAGCAGCTTCTTAATCCACAAAATCCAAGCTTACTAAGTTCAAAATTATTCCAGCAAACATCCACAATCAATTCTCTAAGAACTTACAGTCAATAAATCTCCATGTCATCTTAATGCGTCCTTTACGGGGATCATCAAGCAGCGGATATATTTTATCAGCAATATCAACATCGTATGGTCTACATCCATAACATGTATCACTTACCTTTAACACAACAGAACTTCTCTTGCCATTAATTTTAACACAATGTTGTTCTTCACAGAGTGGATGATTATTTGGATTTGTTATGTTCTTTGGCAACTTCATCCAGTGTCTCGACAGTGCAGCGACTTGATACGGATCACTTAAAGATTTATTTAAGGCACATGATCCGTAATTACCACGCCATTCATAGTAGTAAGTGATGTCGCCTTTAAATAATTGTTTTGGAAGTGAATCTCCATTAATCAGCGATGCTGCGACAAGGCATAGAATTGCGAGATAGAATTGATGGCTGTTAAATGAATAAATTAATTAAATTAAGATAAATGAGAATGGAATTTCCGATTCTTACCTGTTCATTTTCTCTCTGGACAGTTTGGCGACACGAAAGAAGTTTCATTGACTTTGAAAAAATCTTGAATAAACTTTTTTGGCATATCACAGATGTTTTTATAAGATTCTTACTAGAATAATAAGAAGTCCACAAAAAGTTCTTATGTTTAACACGTTTTGTATTTAAATTAATTCTTAGGAAGATTTCAGGTTTTGCGTCGCGTGTTGACAAAAATTCACTAATCTCCATTTCGCAATTGACTCATCATCAGCAGCTGCTGAAATCCATAAAATAAAGCATGAGCTCCAAATCATCAACGCGATTAATAATTTAATTGATGAGTCATCATCATCCATAAAGACGTCAATTATTGGAGATTAAATATCCATAAATATAAAATATCAGATTGGATATAAAATGATAATCATGTATGTACTTATAGCTGGATAAATATAAAGTTTGTAGTAAATTATTGACTTAAATCAGTAAATACAGTTTATGAGCGCATATTAAAATTAAGTCAATAAATATGAAACTTTATGCTTTGCCTGTAATTTAAGAGGATTTTTTTGTTCATTTTTTTATTGGGGACTTAATGGGTTCAATGTTAAGCACAGGAACATTTGATGTAATTTTGGAGTCAAGTGTTGCCAATTCAATGTAGCTCTAAAAGTACTTAATTGTAATTTTCTTTAGAACTCATGTGAATGTCTGATATTTAAGCTCATTCCTTCTTGGATGTCATAAATGTCTGAATCTTGCTATTCTCAATTCTATTTATGAATTTAAATATGTAATTTGGCTTCGAGCAATACTCCTGAAGTTCTTTTCAATGCTGATTTTTAAATTGGAATTTTTACAAACTTTTTCTGCTATTAGGAAGCCTACTTTCAGGTCTTGGACCCTAACATGAGTTGAAAGAATTTTTTTTTGGTCAACTCAGGTCGACTTCGATCTATAGTTGAGACTTAATGTATTGATTTGGTGAAATTCGGTGTGGTCTCACGTTGATGTTTTCCTGGACATAGAATGACTGGCATTTTTCTGCAGTGTGCCTTTACTTTCTGCAGTGAGGGGAAGAGAGTATTTTATAGATAATTTTTAAATTCATTTGGGAAGTTGTGTTGCTTAAATGGGAATTGAACCCATTCCCTACCAATAGAAAGTAGATGCATGGTCCTTATCTACTACTCGGTCACAGAAGCCTTACAGATGCTGATCTTGGCAGTTTTGTATTCAAGTGTCCAGTTCCTTTATTCCCACTCTGCTCCGACTTCACAAACACACTTGCTTATAGTTACAATAACAACCCATCAGACCAAATTAAACCACTCACATTTAATCCACAAAAATATCCGCTCAAATCATCTCAATCATTTCCAATTACAGAAAGAAGACATTAAAAAATAATTCGGCAGTAATAATTATAAACTATTTTCTGAAATTTGATATTTAGTGACTGCTTACACCTTTTTTGATTTTATTTGAATTTTGGGTGCGGAACGTGCACGATGGAACTGTTGAATTTTTGGAGAATTTCCATAATTTTTGGGCTTTGTCTCTTCATTGAATCCACTTACGAGAAGGTAATGTAAATTTTATATTAATTTCAATAACAAAAGAAATTGAAGGAATGGCTTAATACTTTTTATATCGGCTTGTCTAGCACCTTGGCTTCTATTTTTCTCACTTTAATTACACTTTTGATGAGAGGTTCATGAACATTAATGTTGATATGTCGATGTATAAGAAGAATACGAAGAAGCATCCGATCCATAAAGTTCCAGAAGTCAAAATTAAAGTTTTACAAGACATCCCCAGAGTACACGTAAGTCATGGACACAGATTTGGCTTACTTATTATAGACTTTAATTGCTTACAGATTCAACTGATTGCAGAAGACTTAAGAAGCCATAAGACGTTGGCTAATCGAACAATCGATTTATGCGATTTTGACGATATTGTTAATGCAAATATTTTCTTTAAATCTTTACTAAACCATTTGATGGAGAATCTGAAGTTTATGCTGAAATGTCCATTTAAGAAGGTTAGTATGATGAGCTTGGATTGGAAACATTGGATTAAGCCACTGGAAAAATTCGAATAATTATGGCATTTAGGATTTTCTTTTAGAGTTTGAAATTTCAAAAATCTTAACGAAAAATTTTAAATTTAAAAATTTAACGGTATTGTAAAATTCAAAAACTTTAACGGTTGTCAAAGGTCGTTCATAAAAGATAAACAGCTTTTTAAGAAAAGGGAATTTCGACATTGTGTAGCACTGTTATGAAAATCTTGTTGGGGACCGTTTAATTATGACGTCCAGGGGGGGGGGGGGGGGATTGAAATAAAAAAACAACAGAAATTCCTGAAAATCCAAAAAAAATGACCGTTAATTTCGGACGTCATAAGTATACGATCCCTTATCGAATGACATGAGCATTATTTATGAACGACTCCCAATCAAAGTTTCAACAATCTACAAAAAATCCCCAAATTTATTTTCAATTTCTCTCAAATAATGTCAAATCATTCACAATATTTATCAGAATTCGACCTTCACCAAACAATTTCCTGTTATGAACAGAACAGTATTTTAATATTTCAAGAATGACGTACTTACTTGATAATTGACAAACATTTGAATTTCCACAAAAAAAAATCCATTTCTCACGTAAAACTAATCTAAAATCTAAACATTTAAATTTTTGCATCTTTTTTTTATGCCTCCAGGGTACATACGTGGTTGAAGAACACAGCATGCCAAATTACGCGATCACAGGCATGATGAAGCTTCATGATAAATATCACAACATACAGAAAGTCAAAACAAAAATTGATAATCATATCAAGACAATTTTCGAGTCATCTTATACCACGGAGGTTTGCGAATTTGATTAGTGTTTCATCTTCTTTTATTTTTTTATTTAACAATGTGATGTAATGCATAACATAATGCATGAAGTAAAGAAGAGAAAAACGGAAAAGAATTAAAGAAACTACAAATTATGATCCATAAAAATGTGAGCTTTTGCCCTTTTCATTAGATTCTCATCATAAACATGAGATCTTTATCTCCTCTCGTCTTCTTTTCTTTCATACTCAACTTTATTTGGTCTTTTGCTTGTCTTTTTTTGGTTCGGTAGAAATTCGTTGGCTTTTGTCTCGTCTCTTTGGTGGTTTGAGATCTATTGGCTGGATGAGATTGAGTTTATTTGTCGACATTCTTGTCTGGATCGCAGCTTCTCTAGCTGATCTAGATTTAAAGTCTTTTTAGACATCGTTATTACATCAAGTTCAGTCTCACGTTTCTTTCTAGGCTTTAAGGTCCCTTAGCTAGCCTTAGACATCCCGTAAAACACTCGAAGGTATGCATAAAAATAAGTATGTGACTAGAGAGCGGAAGGTAACTCAAGTAGCCCTAGAAACCGGCTCGGAATCTTTAATAATTGAGCCACTAGCTCTTAATGGTCACTATAGATCACGACACATTAGTAAGGTCCTAAAATTGAAATCCCTTCAGAGGTACTAAGCGACTAAAAGGGTTATCAAAACTTATGTCTGCTTCAAATGCAGCATCATGTCCAGAAAAAAGCTGTTCCTTCCAATTTTCTCAACAGATCTTTCATACCAGTTCTTCATTTCTAACCACTCACTGCTCATCATCATCGGCAGCTCGTTCAATGCAACTAATGCTACTGCAGATGAATTATGTATGCACGACTTTTTGTTACTACCGAAATCAATGAACCATTGATGACTCTTTTTAAGCATCTCTTTCTCCCAATCTGTACACAAAAAAAAAAGTTTCTCAGGTTAATTAAATTATTTTATGATCTGTCGAATGATGATTTATGGAAATTTTATGTGTGTCAAAAGGTTTCTAAGGAAGCTAAGGCAGATCATCAATTTCATGCATTATAGTTATCGATTTCTGCTCACCATTTTCCTGATTATTTCACATCTTTTTGATTTGTTTTGTTTTTATGCCATTTTTTTTGTTTATTTCCAAATGTCTCAATTTGAATAATTTTATGGTCTACGGTGCTTCTTTCTTATTGCCATTGTTGCTGAAATCGCGTTGTATTCAATTATTTACGGCTAGTTATATGTGTCTATATCTTCTGCGGTGTGAGAAGTGTGAGATGTGCATGCTTCTCATTTCACTTCGCTTTATTTCAGGCTCAAAGTAAGTAAGAAGAAGCAGAATTGTAAATAATGACCATATTTGTGGGGCGTTAAATATCATTTTATCATTTCTCTTTCTCTTATTTCTGTTTATGCTTTATGGATCTGAGTCAAACAAGTAAAGTTATCGCTGTTTAGCAGATTGTGAATGGTTTTCGATCAATATTTTTGCAAGAATAATCATTAATTTTGTTTTAGAGTTTGAATAATTTTTTAACGAATTTCAAGAATTCAAATTTTTTGTTTGAAAAATAATTTCCACCTCGAAAAATTTTTTATCAATAACTTTTAATAGAAAGCAACTTATAATAAGCAAAAGCTTATTTTAGATACAAAAAAGTGGCAAGAACCGATTCAGAACATTATCTTTAAACAAAACATAGCATAATATAACATTAAGTTTAAAAATTAAGTTTGCTAAAATGAAAATTAACTTTGTTTATTAAGTTCGAACTTGAAGTAAAAGTTTGATCCAAATTCCACATCCAACTAGCAAAACTTGAGTTGAATTAAGCTCATAAAATCAATTAACATGTATCATGGATTCCATTCATTCCCTTACAAATTAAGACAAACGAAAATAGAAAGAAGGAATTGAATTTCTTAAAAAATCACGCCTCAACTGTTTGTAATTTGACACTCCACAAGAGGTCTAACTGACATCATTGGATATCAAGTTAAATCAATTTATAATAGATTTGATATTTATAGCCTCTTATTTTATGTGAAAAAAGGAGAAAGAAGAAGAAGGAAAAGTCATTTCCACTCATTTCTTCCATTATCGGATTATAATTCGCAATTGTTCAACCTTTTTTTTTAAATGAAAATCGTGATCATTAAAAGTATTGTGCCTGTTTAATAGTTTCAAGTTGTCTTAATCGATTGGACCAACAAATATAAAAATAATAATTAACGGAAGTGACTACGAACAATTTTTATAATGACCCGGAATGTTTGCCATATAAAATCAGTTATAGTGATCAAAAATTGTCATATTAAGGCACAAATGATTGTTGATGCCAATAAAAATATTTAAAATTCATAAAAATTAAATCACAAACAATTATCTGAATTGGAGCAGTGGCAAATAACAGCAGAGACTGAGGCAGAATGGATGAAAATGTCGTGATGATGTGCTTAAAAATTCGACATTTTCATGGTCAACTTGGACTACAATGTTTTATGTTATAGCACTTCTGATACAGCTTTATTGGCATGAACCAGATTCTGTTGTAAACTTTATAAGCTATTGACTCCAATAATAAATTAATGATCCAAGTTAAGAGAATTAATAGATGAGTAATTGAATAATCGATTATATAAGGAACTGCAGTTAACATGCCATCCAGCAGCCACAGACTTGCTAGTTTCCATGTTTATTGAAATAATAAAAAATTCCATTTGTGATAAATCCGCCTACAACGAAGTTCAAATCGATTTCTGATTGATGAACTTACTGAATGTTTTAGACTTCGATTTATCATTAATAGACTTGAGTATTTCACTGCATGATACTTTCTTCTTATTGCAATTGTTGCCACAACCATCACTATTTATTATTATATCAGTTAGGTCATGTTAGGGTGTTCCATGTCAAATTGCTTACATTAAGGTTGATTTTTTTCCCATTCAGCCTGACTGATAACATCAATTATGCTTTCTTTGCATCATCTATGCACCGCATGAGTCTTATTCATCTTCAAAATTTTGCATGACTTCATTTCCCAATAAAGAGCCTTCATTTAGGAATTTCATAAGCACAGCCACAGACATAGATATAGAAATAAGAGAAGCACCAACAAGATGATGAAAAATTATCATTTCAAATGAGATTTGATTGCAAATAATTGCATTAGAAGGCAGGCAAAGGGAATGGAAAGAATGAGGAAATATTTTAAGACACCTGGAACAAATTTATCATCACTTTGAGAGATGTTGCTGCTTGCCGCTGATATTTACAAATATTCCATTTAATTTAATTTATTAATATCAAATCAAATTTATCAAACAGAACAATTGAATTGACTGGATGTTGGATGTGCTGCCTCAAAAAACATTCAAATGAAATCGAAAGTGAAACATTTGTGGAATTTTTTATTGTTTCTGTTGACTTTATAGCTGCAACAATGTTCTTGAAATGAAATTAATGATGATCTTTATGTCTCGAATTGTTGTGTGATGAGCACAGATTGTGAATGCATTACTGGATGTCACAGAAGTTCAAGAAACAATTAATAAGCTGTAAATCACGCATTTCGGCGTCTAGTAAGGAGCCAAAATCATTGCTCAATAGCTCAGTTCCATTTTACAGAATAACTTGTTGCTGCCAATTGAGTATTTACTTCCAATTATAAAGTTTAAATCTCAATAATAGATAATTCATTAAGGTTTTGAGCTCTCAATTATTGCCCCAAATAATTGCCATAAATATTTTTGCATTTTGACTTGTTTAAGGAAGCGCATTGGAAGTGGCAATTTGAACAGCACGAATTTCACATTTTGACTGATTTAAAATTGAAAATCGACTTCAATTGAAACATTTTCGGAGGCAAAAATTGCTTTTTAATCGAATTTTAAATTCGTACATTATCAGATGCTGACTGTTGATGCTGCTCTAGTTCCAGCCACATGGAAGATTACATAAGGAAATATTTCCTCAGTTATTTGATTGACATGTTTTGTGTGGTTTGAAGAATTCATCATTTTGTCATTACTGATTTATTTGCGAGGCTAACGATGAGTTTGGAGATGTTAAAGTTCACATGATGTATAAACAACTGTGATTGACATTTTCTGTAAATGATTGTGTGATAATTTGCAATAAATTTGTGAGAAGAGCATTATGTAAACATTATTGAACTTTTTTGATGGCTGAGAGGAGAAAATTTGAAGTTATGTATGTTTTTGACTTCTGAGGGGATGACATGTTTGAAATTTTAACTTTCCGAGACGATAGATCTGAGCTTTTTATACCTACCGAGATGACAAAAGTTAAAATTTAAATCGAAATTCAAATTAAAATTGACAGTTAATGATTAATAACCTTTTAATAGCTTTTATGAAGCCATTGTACAAATTTATTCAAAATAATTCATTTCCTCGTTACTTAGAAAGCAATTTCTTCCCCATTCACAACATTTCTCATCCAATAATCGATTCAGAATAACTAATGATCTATAGATGAATAATTTCAATGATTAATTGACATTTAATTCCACCGACACTCTACTGTTGCACAATAATTTACATAAATTTCCATTTTTAAAAATCAAATTCGAAAGACGGTGATTGTGGAAGTTCAGAAAACAGAGAATCGTCAATAACGGCTGCTTGATATGTCTTGGTGGTCTCTAACAGTTCCTCATCAACATCGATGCCTTTATTTAATTCATCATAATGCTCCATCATAATATTTACTTTTGTTATTATTATTTCAAGTAAATTCTCAACTGTGAATATTGAAAATGAAAACATTAGTTCCTCAATGAAATTCAGTTAGTGGCTTTAAAAAGGCTTACAATCCCATTGTAAGATTTTCGGTGGTTCTGGTAATTTGCTATTGAATTTTAATAGCGGCAATTCCAATACTTCAGTCGGATATTCGCGTTCAATGTAAAACTCTTCAGTTCCAATATGTTGAAGGACATTCAATATGTGCTGCATGGCAAACCTGCAAATTTTAATGCCATATGGATTAATTTACAAAAAATCTACAATTTAATTCACGTCTTAACCTCATCGTTCCAATCAAATTCTGCTGACTTTTTGACGATTCCAATTTACGCTTCTGCATCTCCTTTTCAGCTTTAATTGCCTGTTCTATTTTAACAACTTCTGGCAAAAATCTGTGAAATTATTTTTCAATTTTCATTATTGTTTTTTAATGGATGGACATAATTGAAGCTTACTGTTCTTTATAAAGTTCCGGTTGACCATCAAACAGCAAGAGATAGATGAAATTGGCGGTCTCATAATCAGCCATAACTTTCTTGTACTTGACATTTGATTCTGCTATTATTTCTCGGCTTAGATCCATTAAAGTGAACATTTCTGATGTTCTTGAATTGTTGTGAGAGAAGAAATGATTGTCTAATTAAAACTTAGTCATTCAATTATTCAAAATAAAAAAAAGCGTGTAAAAATACAACTTGATTCTAAATGGCAACCAGAACAATTTAAATCTTGTTTTATTAATTGAGATTCGAACTCTAAACCTTTCCTCTAAGAACTAATTACTAATATTTAATCTATAATCCAAATCCAATATAATGCATACTTAATCCGCATAATTCATAACAACAAAAATCATGTCTGAAAAGCTTACAAAATCCATAAGCACACACTTCCAAATGATGAATTTTAGATGAAATAATAAGTGCGCATAGCTGGTTCACAGAAGCCGCATAAAAAGTATTTTTCTCACAATAAAAAGAAAAGAGTAAGTAATTAAAAATGCACACACGGAAAGAGCTTAATTGAATGTGTCGAGACACACATGAAGCAGGCATAAAAAGAAAGAATGAATGAAAGAAGAGAGCCTATGACTTAACGAGATGCACTTATGAGTTTGGGATCTTTTCTTTAAACTGCCTTTTTTTTGTTGCTTGCTTGCTTAAAATGAATGAAATCTGGGAAAATTATGAAATTTGAATCATAATGCATGAACGTCATATAATATAACTGCAGTTATTAATAAATTTACATTTAGTGCATCAACGCCTTTTTCAACTTTTCTTTCTTTCTTTCTTTTCTTTTGATGATGAAATGTGTTAATTGTCTGGATCATAATTAATTATTATAATTAATGTTGTCGGAATAAAATATGATGATATTATTTAATTCTGTGGTCGGCAAAGAGCTTATAAAATCAGTTGAAACTTTAAAGATTTGAATTTGAATTTTTAAACATTTCGGGCAGTAAAATTTAAATTCAGGAAAAACGTTATTTGATCATAATTTGTTTTGTTGTTTTTAAGTCATTTTGCTATTAAATAATATAGAACTTAGCCTTTTTGGGTCAGTAAACATTTTGATATTCAAAAAATTAGCATTAAGCAGCTTAATTCACAAGACTTTAAGATTTCTCAAATATTTTTTTCCTTTTTCATGTTTGTTTACATTTTGACGAAAAATATTTGAAAAAGAAAACGCGAAATTTTATCAAAACCAGATGAAATATTGAATCCATAAATAGTTTAAAACAAAGAATGTGTATCTATTTTATGTTTAAAATAGTAATCTCAAAGAAAACACAAGGATTTTGGCTGAAAATTAACAAAATTTTCTGATTGGCTAAAATTCATAGCGGATTAAGTTCTAAAAATAAGGACTACTAAAAAAGTACTAAATCTAATTGTTCTAAAAATAAGATCCGTTTGACTTCCACAGATTTAATTATATGTGCAATATAATTCAGATTCTGGTATCAAAAAAAAACATACGCATTGAAGTAAAAATAAAGCTTAATGGTGGCTAGTATGTGCCCTACAAACCATCTACATCTCAAATTCATAACCTTACCTTGACATTATCACTTCTGCACTTTTACTCAATGTAATATCCTTCAACAACTTTATGTCCAACTCAATTTTCTCAACTTTTTCACGTGCTTCTGTCATTGATGGCGTTTCTCGAATATATCGATCGCCAACTCTTACAAAATCGGACTGGAAGTCAATAAAAAAGGACAATGATCATCATGATTTAAAGCCACAGATTCCTCCATTGAAAAGATAAACTTAAACTTACATCCCGTTGAATAAACTGCTTCACAAGTTTTGGATGTTCCCTGAGAGTTTGCTTTATTTTCACAATATCCTTTATTCGAGCATTTTCTTCATGTTGACTGATTCTCAAAAGCTTCTTCACTTCCTTATCCATTTTTTTCACATGATTTATAGCCGGAAAGCCAATATTGAATGTCTGCTGTACTAATCTTGTTTGCTCATTCCAATCATAATTTAGAGCATCAATGACTGGTTTATAGAAAAGTGAATCACGCAGCAGCTGATTAATAATATGTTTGTAAGTCAAATTAATTGATTCAATTCCACGGCATCGAGTTTCGGAATTTTTGATCTCGACGAGAAGTCGTTTTGTGTCACGTTCTTGTTGGAATTCCTTTATGTCATAATAACGGTTGATTTCCTGTTTTGTTGCGATTTGGAGCTATAAATAGATTGTTTTTTGGGGATTAATGGAGTTGATAAGTCAATGACGTCTACTATTTTAAGAAGAACTGCTCTAGCAAAGGGATAAGCTTATAGGGTCGATTAAACGACACTTGAGGCTGCTTACTCAAGAATCATATTTTTGGTACACAAAACCTAAACTTCTCGTTCCTCCTACACATTCCAACTTACAAGTCGTGTCTCATATCCTTTAATAAGCTTCTCTCGTTTACTCGTGTATCGATCAAGTGTCTTTGTCATCATAAATGTTTTATATTCAAGTTCCTCAAGAACCTCGTACGACTGCTTGTTCTGATACATTCGCATGTATGATGGAAAATTCATGAGAACATTTTTAGTTCTTTGGACATCGCCTTTCAAAAGTATTTGCAGTTCCTCGATTTTATCTTTCTTTTGCTTCTTTAAAATTTTGTATTCGTCAGACTGTTCCATTTCCTCTTGTTCATGCTGCAACTTTTTGACATTGTTGTCTTTTGCATAGACTGCATTGATACGCTCGTATTGCTCAATTAAGTCATGAACTTTCCAAGATTCATCTCGCATGTTGTGATGCTTGAGATATCTCAAACCAAAGAGACCATGAGTCTCACCAAATTGAGGCTTGAAATATTCAACTTTTTGGATTCTCATGATGGATTTCGTGAATTTGAAAAGAATTTGCATAAAAAAATGTTTTGAGAATTTTTGTTGTTCCTGAGATTGAATTTTAAATTCAATTTTTTTAAGATCATTGAGAATATTCTGTCAGAACTGCTTGAAAGTGAACTAAATCAGTTAAGATCGCATTTGTTTATTATATTTATATTATATTTAACATATTTTTGTTGTAACATTTAATGCTCTAAGTTGAAGAAAATCTTGTTGAGACGTCCAGGGGGGGGGGGGGTCATCAAGAAAAGAACAATAGAAATTCCAGGAAATCCATTGTTCTTTTTTGAAAAATTAAATTTCAGACGACATAAGTGAACGACCCCTTACCTGCTTTTTACGTCTTTCATTAGTTTAAGGAGAAGAGGTGATCTACAATGACATATCCAAATTTTTGTTGAGAATTGGAGGGTCTCAAAACCTTATTTGATCAATGTCATTCATCACAATTTATGTGTAGAAGCTGCAATAAGAATCAACTCACATTCTGAACATTTCATCTGATTCCATACCAAGGTTCTCAAGTTACATTAAACAAAATAAAAATCATAAATCTCACATAATATATGTACCGTAATCTGCTTATTATGGTAAAAAGCCCGTATGGCGCAGTGGAAGGCGCGTTGGACTCCTATAAACTTAACTTAAAAGGAGATATCCAAAGGTCGAGGGTTCGACCCCCTCTGCGGGTTGTAGAATTTTTTCTGATTTTCTTTTTTTCATCAACTTAAAATTTTTTACGTGTCTGGTTCCAAATCATTTTGAGGAAGTAATAGATTCAAAGCTTAACATTTTCTTATCCTTAAAAAAACAGTTAACTTAAGAATTGTCAAATATTCAATAGATTGACAATTTTTGAACCTCCTGAAGATCACTAAGACCTTTCTTTGCGGATATGCACATCTGTGACTATCCAGCAAAGCTACAAACATGATCATCCAACATTTCAACTCCAGCTTATATCACTATCAATCCAAAAACCACTAAAATTAATTCCTCATTACAAATTTAACAATTACTCATTAAATTCAAAAATTATAGGATGGAACTTTCGCGAACGACTCAACTTCATCCAGTAATTAAGAACAAATAAAGGCAAAATTGCAATCAATCATGATGAGAGGTCAATAGGAAGTTAAATGCTTTCTAACAGAAGCCATTTCTTAATTAATTGCAAAAATCATATTTGAGGATGACTTTAAACAATGCACATTAGGTATGGTCTCTAATTACATCATCTAATCAGCACTAATTAGAGAGAAACATGATGCAATTTAGAAATTATCAGTGGGAGAAAATAGCTTTATGTCTTGTAAATTATTAAAGAGCACTTCGGCTTTCTATCATAAAACGGTAGCATCATCGTCACGTTTATGGGAAAGTTGAGACTTCCTGTTATTTAAGAAGCATCGTTTGGATTAATTTCATGCTGTAAAATTAGCTAATCAAATAAACATAATTTTTATAGCTTTATCGTTCGCTGGTTGTTGAGTACAAACCATAAAGTAACCAGCTTCTTTATGGAATGGGAACTGCACTCATTAATTTTGAAATTGAGGTGTGAAATTGAAATCTTCATGTTATGTCCAGAGTTGCGACGACAGGTACCTGTCACAGGTAAAGGTGACAGTTTCTGTCAAAAGATCACCTGTCACAGGTCGTTACCTGTTCACAGGTCAAATTTTTTCGCCTATCACAGGTCTGACCTGTCAAAGGTTCTACCTGTCACAGGCCGTTACCTGTTCACAGGTCAAATTTTTTCGCCTGTCACAGGTCAGACCTGTCAAAGGTTCTGCCTGTAACAGGTCGTTACCTGTTCACAGGTCAATTTTTTTCGCCTGTCACAGGTCTGACCTGTCAAAGGTTCTGCCTGTAACAGGTCGTTACCTGTTCACAGGTCAATTTTTTCCACCTGTCACAGCTCTGACCTGTCGCAGGCCTCACCTGTGACAGGTCGTCACCTGTTGACAGGTAGAAAAAAATCTACCTGTCACAGGTTGACCTGTCACCTGTCACCTGTCACCTTTGACTATCGAAATTTTTTTCTTCTAGTGAAGTATAAAGATTTCATACAAAATTCATCAATTTTTTTGCTTCCTCAAGTCACGAGTTCAAATCTCACCGCAAGCAACTTTCTTTTTTTGCATTTTTATGATTTGTTTTTAAACTTTTTTGATATAACATTAAGTTTTATGACAAAGTTTTCCATTTTCATATTTTATTTCTTCACTTTCTATATTTTAACATTTATTTTAAATTTTTTCCATATATTTTCATACAAATTTAAATTTTTTTGTCATATTTTATCAATATTTTATACATATTTTATTTTAACAAGCTGAAATCTGATACAAAGGCTCTTTTCCTAGATCTGGATGTTCTAAAATCGTAATCTTGGATCATAAAATGGCATAAAATATTAAAACTAGTATAGACTTTGTCATTCGAGACCGCAAAAAGTCGAAATATATAAAAAATTATAATCCAAGATTACGATTTCAGAACATTTAGATCTAGGAAAAGAGCCTTTGTGTCAGATTTCAGCTTGGTAAACTAAAGTATGACAAAAAAATTTAAATTTGTATGAAAATATATGGAAAAACATTTAAAATAAATGTTAAAATATAGAAAGTGAAGAAATAAAATATGAAAATGGAAAACTTTGTCATAAAACTTAATGTTATATCAAAAAAGTTTAAAAACAAATCATAAAAATGCAAAAAAAGAAAGTTGCTTGCGGTGAGATTTGAACTCGTGACTTGAGGAAGCAAAAAAGTTGATGAATTTTGTATGAAATCTTTATACTTCACTAGAAGAAAAAATTACAGAAGTCCTCGTGTTATTGATCGAGGGACTTAAGCGCATTTTTGTGTTAGCGATCAGTATTTGATTATGTAATTATTTTGCGTTCATTTACAGATCATGAGAAGATTAGAAGATCATTAATTTTAGTGTAATTAACAAAAAGTTACAATGAATGCTTATATAGAAAGGATTATTATTTAACGGTCAATAAATAATTTGAAATTTTGCCGTTAAAAGTTGCACTAAAAAAACATTAATTATAGTATAATTAGATAATTTGTTGCAATGAATTTCCATACAGAAAGAGTTTATCATTTAACGGTTTCTTGTAATTCAAATTTTCTAACGGTCAATATAATAATAATTTGAAATTTTGCCGTTAAAAGTTGCACTAAAAAAACATTAATTATAGTATAATTAGATAATTTGTTGCAATGAATTTCCATACAGAAAGAGTTTATCATTTAACGGTTTCTTGTAATTCAAATTTTCTAACGGTCAATATAATAATAATTTGAAATTTTCCCGCTATAAGTTGCACTACGAAAAAATTAATTATAGTATAATTAAATAATTTGTTGCAATGAATTTCCATACAGAAAGAGTTTATCATTTAACGGTTTCTTGTAATTCAAATTTTCTAACGGTCAATATAATAATAATTTGAAATTTTCCCGCTATAAGTTGCACTACGAAAAAATTAATTATAGTATAATTAAATAATTTGTTGCAATGAATTTTCATACAGAAAGGGTTTATCATTTAACATTTTTTTGTAATTCAAATTTTCTAACGGTCAATAAATAGTTTGAAATTTTCCCGCTATAAGTTGCACTACGAAAAAATTAATTATAGTATAATTAAATAATTTGTTCCAATGAATTTCCATACAAAAAAAGTTTATCATTTAACGGTTTTTTGAAATTCAAATTTTACAACGGCTAGAAATTTTTTGAAATTATAGAGGTAATATTGAAATTATAGAGGTAAAATAAAATTTGAGCAGGTTACACTGAAAACAAAACAAAAATTCATTAATTATAGCATAAATACACTGTTTTAAGATTTTTAAATGTCCGGCGGGCCAATAACTCGATATAACGGAACTAATGCAAAAAACTAGAACTCTCTACGATGTCTAGATTAAAAGTTTTTCTTAGCAGCCGACCAGCCAGCCGACCAGCCGAACAAAGTGCGTTATTAAGCTACCTTTTTGAAACAAGTTTCAAAAATGCGCTAAAAAATTTCGATAGTCAAAGGTGACAGGTGACAGGTGACAGGTCAACCTGTGACAGGTAGATTTTTTTCTACCTGTCAACAGGTGACGACCTGTCACAGGTGAGGCCTGCGACAGGTCAGAGCTGTGACAGGTGGAAAAAATTGACCTGTGAACAGGTAACGACCTGTTACAGGCAGAACCTTTGACAGGTCAGACCTGTGACAGGCGAAAAAAATTGACCTGTGAACAGGTAACGACCTGTTACAGGCAGAACCTTTGACAGGTCTGACCTGTGACAGGCGAAAAAATTTGACCTGTGAACAGGTAACGGCCTGTGACAGGTAGAACCTTTGACAGGTCAGACCTGTGATAGGCGAAAAATTTTGACCTGTGAACAGGTAACGGCCTGTGACAGGTGGGCTGTTTTTGTTGACCTGTGACAGATCGCAACTCTGGTTATGTCCGAACAGAATAGAAATATTTTTAACGGTAATTCCAAATTTGAAATCTTCAAGTGCATTCAGTGCCAAAATAAGTTCATTCCACAATGATTCAGAAAAAAATGTTCAAAAATTTCATGTTAATCAATCGTTGTCTTTTAAATGCCAGATTAAAGATATTTCCTTTATGCATATCCTTTAAAAATATCTCGTTCCTATTTGCTGTCTAACTCCAGAAATCATTAATTTAATCTCACCCAAAATTTGTTTACAATTTGAGTATGAAAAAAGAAATATGATTTTTTCTACTTTAAGTTGTTATTTGGTTATCTTGGAGCAGTTGCTAGCTAATTTAAGCGTAGCTTTACATATTAAAACAACCAAATTAATAGAAATCTGCTTATTAAGTCTTAAAAATGGAATTGAAATCTGAGTATTTTTGCAAAACTTAAACTATTCATAAGTTAAAAAGTCTTACAAAGACCTCTCTGAAACCTATATAAATCAATTAATTAAGCTTAAATCTATCTCCCATATTACTGGGG